CCTGGTCAGTGGTGCGGTCTTATTTGGAAACAGGGTTGAATCTGATGTAATTCAGAGGAGCTCACACTGGAATAGGATGGGCCCTTAAAGCAATTAACTGGTGTAAGGTTGGAGGCCTGGTGGAAACACCAGGTGATGGGAGAGGCTGGAGGGATGTGTTTATAAGCCCCAGAATGCTCAAGATTGAAAGCACAATGCACAGAGCCAGAGAGAAGGATCACCATGACTCTCAGAGGGAAGATGCGCCTGCCAACACCTTTCTTTCGGGCTTCTAGACTTCAGAACTGTGTGAGACAGCATTTGTCTATTGCTTTAAGTCCCCTATCCCATGTCACTCCATTCCTGAAGCCCTGGACAGTGGGTCTGCAGGACACTGGTAGAGAGGGTCTTGTGGGGTGCTGATGCCCTGCCTCTCATTGGGCATCACTGGCATTCGCCTGGCTCTGGGGCTCAGGGGCTCAGGGGCTCAGGTTTGCCTCTCTGGGTGTTCAGAGGCAGCCTCTGCCTAAGTTCCCAGGCTTCCTCTCTGGCCCCTTGTCCCTCCGTGTCTGAAAGAGCCCCACTGGGTGACAGGGTTCAGTATCACCTTGTGACTTTGCCTTCTCCCTTATCAGTGTTTCAAGTGCACTTTCAAGATCCCCCCACCTTGGTTTCTTGATTAAGATACAGATGAACTTTGAGTACCAGCCTTTCTACCTTTCAACTGGCTCTCTCTGAACAGGTCTTTCCCCAGGCCCAATATGGCGGGTGCAATTTTCCCATTTCTCTGCTCCAGAATAATTTTTTGAAAACAAAACAAAATAAAGCAAAACACCTGGAAGGTTGCGTTTTAAAACAAAGGCCCCCTTTTCCGAATGGTTTGGTGTCTTGTGGTTAGAGGCTTCATTCTGCTGAACTTAGGCATATTAAAGAACATTTTTCATTTGAGAAAATAAAGCCTTCCACTCAAAAGCAGCTTGACAATGAGATTTTCATTAGCAAGGAACTGTGCAAAGCTTATGAGTCTACTGGAGGGGTTTCTTTCTGCCCCACCCCCCACCCCAGCAAAGACTGGGTTCAAACTGCCGTAATACTTAATCTAGCTTTTATTTGGGGCTAAGTTTCTAGTGTGACCACAAGGAAGGTACTGTTTTGCAATCCCCAGGGTAAGTCCGCAGACATGGCCCAATTCCTGAGCTCTGTGCTGGTGCCCTGCTTTCCGGGCCTAGGGACTCAGCTCGCAGCAATTCTTTATGCTCTGAGCGCGATCTTTTAGTCTCTAAGGACGTCCTGAGCCTAGAGTGGCTGCAGAGAAGATGTGCACTCTCCAGCTTGTGCTGTTAGTGACTATGGGAACATCTTGAGGGCACTTAAAGCCCCAAACATAAAACTTGCAGAAGTTTAAAAAGGTTAGTTTTGTCTTCTGGTTTTTATTTATTCATTTATGTTTTATTTTTTTATTTTTTCTTCATTTCTTAGGCCATCGATTGGCTTTAGCTTCTAGTTCTTGGCATTTATACCTGGAGAAAAGGGAGGGAGTTTTAGGCTATTTGTATCTTCTAGACAACATATGTATTTATCATAACATAAATTATAAAGCACCATACCTGGGACAAGCAGTTCCGAGGTCAAGGGCAGGACCAAAGGTTCTGTTTATGTTCTGGTTAACTGTGTTTAATTGTGTAACTAGGGATTTGCCTGACAGGTGGCCTTGTTTTCAGCTCAACCCATGCATCCTGAGATTCTGTGGTGGATGCTAAATGGATGGGTAGTAATAGATCTAGGATGGACGGATGAGTATAAAGAGGGGGATGAGGAAGGGAGCGGCGGAGGAACACAAATATGTCACTGCTCCCTTTCTCTGGCAGGTTTTCTTACTAAAGTGCTAATGGGATTTCAGGTCTGCTGAAGCCTGGGAGGGTTTTCCCTCAGCCCGGCAGGGTTTTTTGGGCTTCATCCAGGAATTGAGAGGCACTATCTTGCCTTGCCTATGGAATGTGCTAGAGCATTCTTGTAGTTCTTTGTGAAAACAGCACCAAGTACCTGGACTCCATGGAGACTCCAGTGTGCGGGCATTGCTTCTTAGGTTGGAAACACTAATTTCTTTTGATTTCCCACCTTGGGAATGGTGCGTATTTTGTTGGAAATCATCTCAAACAACCCCGAGAGAAATGCACTTCTTTTGAAAATTGTGGACATTCAGTAAATTGTTATATATATTTCGAAATATCTAATGTTTGAGGTTGGCCCCTTTTTTTGATGTTTGTTTATAAAAATGTTGAAAGCTCAGGAATTCCATTAGAGGATTTTATATAGCTTGGCAGTACACCTTGTTCTAATGCCCTTGATCTAAAAAACGCAGCAAACACAAATAGATAGATCCTTATTTTCAGTTACTAGGTCTTAGGCGTTTTGCTGAGTTCTTTAATTGCCTATCTCTTAACATTGTCTCTGTTGCCCACTAGATACTTCACAATCCTTTTTATTTTCTTTTTTAAAAAAAAAATGGCAGTTTTTATGTTTGTACTTTGGGTTGTTTTCTGGACGGAGCATAGGACCAAGCATTCCAGAGAAACCTTATTTTATCTGCTTTTCCACACGGCTGATTTTCCAGCAGTCAGTGTGTTTCTTGAAAGAGAGAGAAAAAAATGTATTTGCCTCCTCATTAGGATGCCTTTAAAAAAAAAACCAAAAAACAAAAAACAATAAAACCCCAAACAGAGTTTCTCTATGTAGCCCCGGCTGTTTGGAACTTGTAGGCTAGGCTGGCCTTGATTGAACTCAGAGATCCACCTGCCTCTGCTCCCAAGTGCTGGGATTAAAGGTGTACTCCACCACACCCAGTTAGAATGCTTTGTTTTTAACATTATCATAGGTTCATATAAACTAGAAATCTGTTATCGTAAGATTTTTGTCATTTTTTGTATGTGTGTTTGCATGATCACAGGTTCATATGAGCTCGCGTAAGTGTGAAGGTTGAAGGTTAGCGACAACTTGTGTTTACGAATGACGGCGTACCTTATTCTAATGTCCTTGAGGCAAAAATGCAGCTAATGCCAATAGATTTCCCTCTGCCCTGTTTCTGGTGACTGCTCTCAGGCTTCTGTCGGAATGGTTGCAGGTGCTGTTGCCTCTGTCTGGAATGCTCTTCCTTCCTACAGACCCAGACATGGTCCCCAGCAGCAGCCAGGGCCTGGTTGACATCCTGGCCACAGCTGGCAGTGCAGTCCACTCAGGTTGGCATGACCCCGGGCATGGCGCCTCCCTTGGTCACCACATGTTGTTTCGTTTCATGTGATTCACACTCAGCTTTCAGAAGCTGTGTCTTGCTTTCCCTGTCTGGATTAGTTCTGATGGCTCCCAGCCATAATTTGATAAATGCTCGTGAATGGCTTGCTGATGTATGTCTCTGAGGCACTGTATCCCTGGTGGCATTGAGTAGACACTGGGAGTTTGTTTATGGAGTGTCAATGATGTCACTTCAGAGGTTGAAGCAGTGCTCTGAGTTAATTTTACTGAATAGATATTGAATTTTAGTCAATATTTGTCACTATAAGAATTATTTGTCTAAAAAAGAATTATTAATCTACTGACATTAGAAAGTAAATACACAATGTATGGTTTCATGAAAATATATAACTGATGCTTTATTTGTAATAAATAGCTAGTAGCCTAAATTAAGATGCACCTCTCATTTATAACTCCGGTTAGATCATCTAACAGTGGTGCACACGTTGTCACATGGATTTGCCCTGAAAAGCAGGACAGTTTCTAACACAGAGATCTTAAGGCTTGACTTCTGCTTTCTCTGAGCTTGATTCCTTTATTTTAAAAGTATCTGAAGGAATGATCTAGACTCACTCAGGCAGTGCAGAGGTGGTTTGGGTTTTTGTTTGCTTGCTTGTTTTATTATTTTCCCTTCTTTGCCCAGCACTGGGAAACTTGGGCCTCACTGAAGCCGGCCAAGCACTTCCCCACCGAGCTCTCTCCCCAGCCCCGCTGCTATTTGTTTATGTTGAAACAGGATCTTACTAGTTGTCTAGGCTGACTGACCTTGGAGCTGTTCTGTCCCAGCTTCTAGAATAGCTGGGATTACAGACTTGGGCCAGCAGGTCTGCCTTGGTCCTTGTTCATTGCAATAGAATATTCTCCCAGAGGGAGACTAGAGAATGCTTACAGTTTGAGAAATGGGCTACATTCAGATCTGTATATTTCTCCAGAGAAGGTTTTGTATAAGGTTCAGAACTGATCGAAACACCCAGTTTACTAGATGAGTTGGGGAGTAAAGCAAAACATGACCAATCGATTCCAGGTGGGTATCAGGTGAACCGGCAGGACTAGGGAAAGAACGGAAAGACACAGGAGAGCTACCATTTGAGGCCTTGAGAGACTGTTTCCTTTTACAGGTACTCAATTTTATAGAAATCATTGTGAATAATTACTTTAGAGCTGTCTTATTCACATTCTGTATTACCATAAACTAGTAAATTATTGGCTGTGGTTTCTTTCAAAGCTCAGGGTGAGAGTACCGTTTTGTTTTTGTTTTAAATAGAAATGGCTGGGCGGTGCGTGCACGCACCTTTAATCCCAGCACTCAGGGAGGCAAAGGCAGGCAGATCTCTATGAATTCAAATCCAACCTGGTCTACAGAGTGAGTTCCAGGACGGTCAGAGATACACGGAGAAACCCTTGTTTCGAAGCAACCTCGCAAAAAAAAGAAGTGAACTTCATCTTCGAAGCTGTGTGTAATTAGTATTCAAGATATGACTGTAAGGTCCTCAAAATAGCATGATGTCACACTTCTTCCAGAACTGGGTATGTCCTCATAAAACCTCTTGCCCTGTTATTAACTATCTGCCCCCAAAACAGGGTTGGAAGGGACCTTTGAGTGTGTGGGTACACCTATATCTATATGGATGTGTGTACACATAGATATGTGTACATATATGTAGATATGAAAGCACAGGACTGCATTTAGGGAAAACTGCTTCTCATTCGTGTTCTCTCCTTACTATACAAAGTGTGAGGCCATGGACGAGTGATGTTGGAATCACCTGGAGGCCTGCTGGAAGGGAGGACAATGAGGTTTTGGCGCAGAGCAGAAAGATCAGAATTGGCATGCCCAGCTGATGCCGATGGTTTTTAAGTGCTGCTCTGCAAATCCTGCCAAGTAGGCTGGGGAGCAGAGTAAGTATCTTTAGTAACGAGTGACTCACTAGCCCATGGTGAAACCTGTTATTATCTTTAGGTAGCCTAAATCTTAGGGAATTCTCCCGAAGAAGGAGCTCAGACCCAGCTCTGTGAATGGCTTTCACACCACAGAGTTCCTCTTCATGAAGATCCTTCAACCGTGAGACTGGGCTCGCTCTTGACCAAATGATTTTCCCTGGGAGTACCTACATTGCCATCTCCCAGCTGATTTTGGTATGACCTTGTTGGCTATTTCTTTATGATCTGTTCAGAATAAAGAACCCAGAAGGACCTTGCCAGCACTATAATTGGGATTCTTTTACTCCAGTTAGTCTTGAGTGGTATTTGGTTGAAGGTGAGAGAAACCCAGGAATTTTGTGTCCTATATATTCATGGAAAGCAGTTCGGTATAAATGTACAGACTTATCGTGATTCATAATTCTTTAAGTTCAACGTTCTGCCTCACAGAACTGTTGCATGTAAGGGTGGCCATCCAAAGCACCACTTCTGAGTTCTAAAAGACCCAATTTCTTGGTACGTCAAAAGAGAAATAGTATAGTATATAATAAATGATAATAATATAGTATGTAAAAATAGTATTTTATCGTTTTTGACAAGTTAAAAAAATTCTCCTCCATGACTCAAAACATCCAATGATTTGTGTTTCTCAGCAGTCTGTCATGTGTTTGTTTAGACATACACTGAACTAGCCTAATGTACTCAACTTTGTAATCTATTTTTGATGGGCTCTATCTTTGCCTGGCACTCAGTGATTTTATAATCAGCACAATTATTTATCTAGAATTCACAAATAAAAGTCACCATCTTTTTGTTTCTGTATAATTGTTTTCTAAGAGGTCTTCCCTCCAAATGTTTTACAGAAGCAAGCAAACATGACCTTGGTTGGTTAGTCTGTGTTCCAGTTAACCTTATATAAGAAAAGCTGTATGAGGAGCAGTCTTAAATTTCTTTTCAGTTTTTTTTTTTTTTGAGTTGGCCCTTGGCACAGCTGACACTAGCTGCTGGCTGTGCTTGTGCTGTTCCCATGCTGTCTTCTTGCTCGTTCTTCTGTTTCTGTTCTTCTCAACCCCCACCCCCATCTTCCTTTCTTCCACTCTTAACCTCCTAAGGCTTTGAGAGCCTGCAGCCCCCTTTCACTTCTGCATTTAGCAGTAAAGCTGTGTGTGTGTGTGTGTGTGTGTGTGTGTGTGTGTGTGTGTGTGTGTCTGGAGAGAGAGAGAGAGAGAGAGAGAGAGAGAGACCCCGAAAGTTAGACAGTTGCTTCTTTCACTTCCAGTTTGCTTTGGATTAATTGGGCTGAACCCGATATTTTTCAAAGAAATTGAGCTGGATCCTTTGGAAAATCAGTCTGGAAGGGCAGAAATGTAACTTGGGGCTTGCTCGGCTGTTTGGTTTTGTGTTTATTTCATTTAGCTTTTGTGTTTGGTATTTTCATCCTCCCATAACGCAGTCTTTAGGAACTCATAGCTGATCTGACTAAAACAGTGTTCTTACTATATTTGTTACTGGTTTCACCTCCCTGCAGCCTAGCCCTCCCCTAAATGTGCCACCTCTGTGTTTTGTTTCAGCGCTTGCAACTGAAGCTACAGCACAACCCTTCATCGTGGATTGTTTCCAGTATCCAGACCTCCACATGTCAGCAGTAGGCTCCTGATGCGGTCCATCCTCCTCCACCCCTCCTCACTGTTTTCAAAGAGAGAGGGCCTTCAGGAAACACACCCCAAAAGTGCAGGTTGGTGGAGGCAACTCAGCCTTGTCTCAGGTTCTTTAGATGTGAATTTCAACGCGGGAAATGTGAAGTCACTTGCAGGTGGCGTGAATGTGTCTGTTTCCAGCTGCATGCTGTTCTCCTTTCAAGTTCTGCAGGTGGCTGCAAAGCCCGGAAGACATTAACCAGTCAGTTTATGTCTATCCATAAGGCAGGCTACTGAGGCTGGGAAACTTTTGTTTGTTTGTTTGATAAATTTCATGCACCAACTCATCATTTATTCTGAGAAATCTTTTAAAGCAAAAATATTCATCAGGAATCAGCTACTTAAAAACAAAATCTATGAGCTCTTGCAAATTTGTTACAGTGCATCCCTTTAAGCCCTTTGTTAGGTTTTGTCTCTGTGTGCATCTGTATGATCCTGAGGGCCACTGAGGTTTTGTCTCTGTGCGTATCTGTGTGATCCTGAGCGCCACTGCGCATGCTTGTGTGCCAGCTCTCTCCTTCTACCAAGTGGGTCCTAAAGACCACACTCTGGTTGTCGGTCTTTGTGGAAGGCAGCTTTCCCCACTAAGTCAGCGGTTCTCAACCTCCCTCATGCTGCAGTTCTTTAGTACAGTTCCTCATGTCGTGGAGACCCCCAACCATACAATTATTTCCTTGCTACTTCATAATTGTAATGTTGCTACTGTATGAATCGTAACGTATATATCTGCTATGCACAGAGCTTAAGAGCCACTGTGCTAAGCCATCTTGCTGGCTCAACATTACCATCTTATTTGCCAATCTTTTTGTATAGGACACATCTTGATTGAGGATATTACGCTTTAGCAACACTGGCAATTTAAATATTCACTGTGCTCTTGGAGTTTAGTCCTTGAGAACTTCTTGAGTTCTTGTTTATTAATTCCGATACGATATGATTTGTGGTGTTTCATAGCCCACCCCACCCAAGGATAACCCTGGTTCTTACACTTCACTGTAGTGTACCTAGACTTGGATAGTGGGATGAGATCCTCAGTTTCTTGCTGCTACCAACCTCTTGATGGAATCCGACCTGTAATCTTGATTTTGCCTTTCTTGTCAGTCTTTCCATTTTCTAGCATCAAGGAGATGGGATGATTTTTGAGAGTCTCTATAATAATGAAAGTCCAAGATTCAAGTCCCAGCCCTGCTGCTGACATTGTTGGTGTCCTCAGGCAGGTTTTGTTTCTTCTGTGGAGTGTCTCCATCAGGATGAGAGGGATGGAAAAATAAATACCCATTTTAGAGGCTGATTTTCATGACTAAAGATTTCTACAATCTACAACCTTCAGAACCGTCTCGGCAGCAAAAAGTTCTGAAAAAAGGGTTTGTTGAATTTTAGCTCTTTGTTGTTATCTGCTGCTCAGTGTGCTGATGGGGTTTTGTCAACTTGACAGGCAGGGAGGAGGAAACCTCAGCTGAGAAAAGGCCTCCCCTTGTGGGAGGGGCTGGCCCATTGTGGGCTGGCCGTACAGTCCTCCAGGGCCTCTGCTTCAGTTCCTCCCACCAGGTTCCTCCCCTGACTTCCCATTACAGACTGTCATCCATGATGCTCCCCATTGCTTTTGACCAGTGTTTTATAGCAGCAATAAAAAGCAGACTACTGCGTGCATACTTTGTCTGTACCCATTTTCTGCCCTAGAGCTTATAGGCTTTCCAGTCTTCACCCTCACCTTGTTAAACGTGTTGAGTCGTGTGAGTTTGCTTCCACATCTAGAACACAAAAGCTAACTCTTTCTCAAGACAATAAAAAATCTTAGTATAAGATGAACTAGTCACCAGCTTACATTATTTGTAAGGGTTTTGATTTTGTTTATTATTTTTAGACAAATGTGAAGCTAGGAGGTGTGATAAGCATCAGTAATCCCAGCAACTGGGGAAGTGGAGGCAGAGGGATCAGCCAGACTGGCTATGTACAGTGAGCATGAGGAACAACTAGCTATGGGATACCTGCTTCTAGAAGAAACGGAAAAGATTTGAAATGCTGACTATAAATTGGGATTTGCTTGGTTTTTATTATCACTCAGTAGCTGTGTAGTTTTATTACAAAAATGATAGAGAGGTATTGCTTTCCTGGCAGAAGTAGGATTTAATTTTGAATTTCGCCAAAGAATTCTCACTTCTGTTTGGGATGCTTTTAATTTTACATTCAAAAGTATGTAATTAAGAAAGACTTCCTGACAGTAGACACTTAGAAATGTCAAAATTAGTGTATAGACATAATTATTGTTACTGTGGTAACAGAAACTGAATTCTTGAGGCTATTATAAGCATTATGCCACGTGTTCTGTAAGATCCTTAGCTTTTGTGTTTTCAAGATAGTTTTGGGTAAAGACTTGGTATATGGCCAGTTTTACTAATTCTAAAAAAACATCAAAATAAGATTTAAAAAGTTCTTACCACCTGCCAGTTGCTTAAATTGCATGCAATAGTTGTAACACTTCCGTTACATAACATCATTATTCCCCATTTTATAGAGGACAAAAAGACACAAAGCAGCTCAGTAGATTCCAGAGTCTTTTGAGTAGTCAGGACTTGCGGAGACTGAAATCTAAGGTGTTCAACTGACAGGCATCTGAACGCTCAATTATGGTGCTTCCTACAAACTGCAAATTGCATGAAAAAGATGACGAGCAGTAAATGGAAGGGCTAAATTATATAGACGTCTCGGATTCTGGGCTCAGTGGTTTTATGGGCATGTGGTAGATAGCCAGTCAAAGTCTCACTGTGGGTTCGTGGCAGGATGGAGACCGGCTGCACGTGGAGAGCTGGAGGCCTCCTCTAACACGTGGGCTGGAGGCCTCCTCTAACACGTGGGCTGGAGGCCAGCTCTAACACGTGGGCTGGAGGCCAGCTCTAACACGTGGGCTGGAGGCCACCTCTAACACGTGGGCTGGCTTAAAGCGAACAGGAGAGATCAGTAGCTGAGTGAGCTGGAATGACAATGAGGATTTGAGAAACAAGATTAAGATAGCTGCCTGGGAGCTTGAGTGTGGATGGGCAGAGGTGGAAGTGGAGATCTATCTAGAAGCATGCAGGGAAATGACGTACAACCCAGGCTTTTGGGGCACCACCCAGAGGGAAGTGGGCTAGATTATCAGCAAGCATGGGACAAAAGAAAGACCAGTGAAGTCAGCAGTACCATTTAATTCCTTACTGATTTGCTTATTCGTTCTGTTACTGAAGGTTATACTCTTCTGACGAGTTTTTAGGTTTCTTTTTCACAATCTTGGCTGTTCTTCCGTAGTTTGGTACTTAGGGCCACATTCTGTCTAAGTGTCCTAAACTTTTGATTCCTCTAAGATTGTCATTCCTGGATCCAAGCTATAAATTGCAGTAACTGGAAATATGTTGTCAGAATTTGAACCATGATTCATTTGGCACTTTTGAAAAGACCTTTACATTACACTTATTTCTATTTGTTTTTATTTATTTACTTATTTATTTGGTGTGTGTGTGTGTGTGTGTGTGTGTGTGTGTAGAAACAGAGATGGGGGAGGAAAGTAGGCACATTACCATGATAATTTATGGATGTTGGTTTTCTCCTTTAGACATGTGGGTCCTGGGGTTGAGCTCAGGTTCAAGAGTGGTTCTCCACATTTCCTCCCCTAAACATGAATAGTGTCATGGGACAGTGGTAGTAGGTAGGGGACTGAAGTGGCAGTTCTGCAGGCTCAACCATGTCTGGTGAGTTCACAGATAAACCACAGACTCAGAGCCCAGCTCTTCTTTAACCCCCCTTATCCTCAAAGGGTGTTTGGTTTGTTTCTTCCAAGAAATGCCTATTCATTTGCCATTTTGAAAGATGCCTAAAGGCAGAAGCATGGGAGTTGGAAGGAACTTCTAAAACCTCAAACCCCCTGGTTTTCACAAGGGCCTGACCCTCTCAGTGGGGTGCTGTGACTTCCAGCAGGGCTTTGGAAGAATGCATCACTACAGCTGTAAAAGCCCCTCTTCTGACTCAGAGGACCAGAGAGGGCAAGAGCGTGTATTTCCCTTGCCTTCCTGGACCATACTGGAGTACTAGGGAAATGAGATATTATTTTTAACCAGTAACAGATAGCTAAAATGATTTTTGACTTTGTGTAGCTTAATTTCTGTACCACATGGACTGCTGTTCTCTATATCTTGAGGGCACATATGCATTATGTATAACTGTATGTTTCTAATCAATGTATTTTCTTTAATGCATGTAGAGCTCCTTTTGTTCAGTGGTTTTGTGTTTTTCAATAGCACCAGTAACCAGTTGTAGTTTTTTTTAATTTTAACCAATTGAAGCAAAAGTGTCATTTAAAATTAGGTATCAGAATGCAATCTAAAGTCTTTGTATATAGTTAAAAATATTTACTCTACTGTCTAAGTGTGAATTCAGTTGCCGTGATAAAATACTGACCAAAACAAACATGTGGAAGACAGGGTTTATTTGGCTTATAGGGTCAGTCAGTTACCGAAGGAAACCAAGTAAGGAAATCAAGGCAGGAACCGTAGTTTTAGGAACTGAAGAGACCATGGAGGAATAGTACTTAGTGACTTGCTTCCTACGGTTTGCTCAGCCTTGAGAGCTTATTTTTCTGCAACCCAGGCCCACTTGGTGGTACCACCTGTAATGGGTTAAACCCTCCCACAATCAATCATCAATCAAGATAATTCAGTACAGACTCGCCCACAGCACAATCCAGTGGGGGCATTTTCTCAAGTGAGGTTTCTTTTTCCCAAATGACTCTAGCTTGTGCCAAGCTGACATAAAACTATCCGGCACACATGGCTTGCTCAGCTTGGTTTCTTATACAACCCAGAACCGTAGTGAGCTGGGCCCTTCCGCATCAATCACCAATCCAGCAAATGCCACACAGACATGCCCAGAGGCCCTTCTGATGAAGGTAGTTCTTCGGTTGAGGCTCTTTCACAGGTGACCCTAGTTTGTGTCTGTTGGAGCTCACAAGACCTTAGAGTAAATGTCCAGCTGACAGGTTCATAAAGGCAGACCCACGAGTGTACAA